CCACAAGCCAAAGAACAACTCCAAACTCTGAACTTTAAAAAGGGGGTCATTACCCGAAATGATGGGGTCATGGACCTATTTTTAAAGGGCCATGGAGACTCCAGGAACCAAAATATTGCAAGTAAGGGACACGACCAAGGAAACCCAACAGTTTACCGCGTATCATGTTTTTTGCTACTTGGTTTACATGCAATATGAAATGTAATATGAAGTTTCAAAATGGGGTACCCCTAAAACGGTGGTCTTCCTGGAACTCCCTTTGACATCAAGCTCAAAAAGGTGGTTCAAACTGTACCCTCACCAAGGAAAGTACCCAGTATGCTTGGTTCAACAACAATCCACCCCCCCCCCAAAAAAAAACCCACAAAAAACAGCCCTAGGACCGGAACAAAATAACACCGGATCCCAACAACATCCCCCCCACACACAAAAAAAAAAACAGAAAAACAGACGCCCCAACACCACGGGCTTTTTCAAGGTCCAAGCTCCAACTTCTGGGTCCCAGCGCCAGTGAGCTCGTGTCCAGGTCGTGTCCGAGCGCGATGGATCGAGGCCCGGGCCCGGGCCATGAAGAAGTCCGGGTCCTCCTCCTCTGTGCCAGGCATCAGACCTCAGGGGCGGGACGTGGTGGACTGGAGAGGGAAGGGGTCCTAGGTGTGCTGTTCAAATAGATGGATATGCCTGGAGTAGATGAGCAAAAACCACCAACCAAAACAACCAAACAACAAAAAAAAACACCTATATGGGGGATGGGCGTAACTTCCTTAGGTGCAAGGCCCGGCGAGGGGCGTAACTCCCTTAGCAAGGCCTGGGGAGGGGAGGGGGGGAGGGGGGGGTAACCCCCTGAGCAGGGCCTTGCACCCTACCCTTACTCTTGAAGGGTGGATACAGCTCCTGCATCTCCTGGAGCCTTCTAGCCTCCGTCAAAGGATCCCAATCCCCCCATCAAATTGGTCCTCTGTCCACAAAGACGAGCGTGACTTTTGCTATTTTCAATTTAAGAAACACCGCCTTCAAAAAGAAACGGGACAAAAAGGGCACCACTTGGGTGTGTGATATGTTTTGAGGGTACCTAATTTACCTTGAAGGGAAACCAATTGAAAGGGAAACCAAACGCAACTTCACGATTCTGGTTAGGTCCTCCAGTAGAGGGGTTAGAACAAGGGTACCTTGTTTTTCCGTAGTCTATTTTAGGGCAACCCTCCCCCAAAAAAAGGGTAAAAGGGCACTACTGGGGACCTAGTTGACACATACCTTGCAGCTTGGTGGCGTGTCCGACGCTGCTTCTTCTGAGCTGCTGACCCGCTTCCGGATCTGCCTCGCTGCCGGAGTCGCAGCCTGGCGGTTCATTCGAGAGTTGGTCGCCAAAAAGACCAAAACCTGCTTAGAGTCTCCATGACCCTTTAAAAAGGGGGTCATTACCCGAAATAATGGGGTCATGGACCTAAAAGGGTCATGGAGACTCCAGGTGGAACCAAAAGGTGATCAGCTTTTGAACACTTGACTCAAAATGGCTCAAATTAGGGAAGCCAAATTAAAAGGTCGATTCGCTTTGGGCAAGTGAGGCACAAACGAATCTCAAACCCACTGCTTTACCTCTGAATATCCTCCAAAATCAGCTGGAAGTGTAATATGACCAAAAGGTACTCGCTTCCAATGGACGCGGATTTTGTCCAGGGGGCCTAAAACATTGGTTTTTGTCTGAAGACCCTATAGACCATGGCCCAAAGGACAACTTGACCAAGCGAGTTTCACGGGGGATGTTCAACAAACGCAGAGGTCAAGCTGTAAACGAAAACCCGGGCCCATTATTTTACTAGTCAAAGTCACCCCCCCAAGTGGTAGGGTCAAGGGATTTCTGACCTTGGTAACCCCTAGCGAGATTAAAAAAAATGGCTGCAGAAAACCCGCCCATGAAACAAGCAAAGGTCCGATGATTTGGGCGGTCTGTTTCATGGGAAAACAGTGCCAAACGATTCAAAGGCGAAAGTCATAATCAAACCCTGGTATTAAAATGGTCTACCAAGAACCATGCTTCAAGAATTAAGAAGACGGCCGAAGCTATTCATGGTTGGGAGCATCCCTTGCCAACCTTCATCTACCCGAATCGGTTTTGAGGACGCTCACGTGAGCCCCGAAGCTTGCGAGTTGATCGCAAGGAATGATCCGAGGTCAAAGCCTGGTTGAAGAGATACATCCAGCTGGGATCCGGGTGGCTAAGAAGTGTTGCATAGTGTTGCCCTTCGCGTGTTTTGCGTTTTTGGTGCTGCCAGAGAGGCGTCCGCCATTTATGCTCACAAGGCTCAGTTGCCCAACTCAACTTTCCCCTCAAAAAAACGGAAATACAAGGGTCAACGTTGACCTTTTGGAACCTTGACTATGGACCAAAAAGGGAAAAGTAATGAATGATGAGCTTCCCTGATTGATTTCAATCGAAAATTGTCCCACGGAGGATGGCTGCAAAGAAAGCTACCCCTAACCCCGCCTCCGCAGCAGTGCTTTGCCTGACGTTTTCGTGTCCGATACTCAGACCTGGAAAAGGAACCGAAGAGGTTGCCTTTTGGTTTCCCTAAAGAAAAGTCAGCCCAAAACCTCCTGTTTGGGTGTGTCTTGTAATGGCTTCGGTTTCCGGTTGATTTCCCACCAGTCACCATAAGCCTCAAGCATGGCGACTCTGTAATTTGGCATACAAATGGGCATGTGTTAAAGGTCATGGAGACTGCACACAAACTTTGCGGTTGCTCCAAACCAACTTGATTGCAACGATTCTTCAAGGGTTGTTCTTCGGCCTGCAAATCGTGAGGGCTACATGCCGCGGTTCAGCAGCCGAAGCTGTTCTGGTTTTGTGCACTAATAAAGAATGGGCGGAGATAATGTTCACACGAGTCACAAAAACGGCATCTGCAATCGTGGCATTTTGCGCAATCGATCGTGGCCTGATGGGTATAATTAACGCATCTAGGTCCTCCAGCAGAGAGATCAGAATGAATAAGGGTACCCTTTGTTCTCTAGCCTAGTTTAGTAGGGGAACCCTCCCCCAAAAAAGCTGGAAAAAGGGCAGTACTGGAAGACGCAGGCATTGTCCGGCAACAAGTTCAGTGTGGGTGACGCCATCTATGGACAACTTCCTCGTATGGTCTCCAAGCCGCATGAACTCAGAAGCCCTGCGGCCTTGGAAGAACTTGGTTGACGTTGGAAAGGGAGCAACAAATTGAACTTTAGCAGTTAAGTGAGGGTTTCCCACTAAACAAATAAATGTCAGCAGTTCAGTGGAATTGGATTTCAACAACCAGACTAAACTAGAATAAGCAAACATGTAAAATGTTTCCCAGCAACAACCATGATAAGGACACCTGTCTTGGGTTGGCTGAATTTAGAGGGAAACAGTGCCTGAACAAAACGGGTGGCGGCTCAGCTCGAGTGGCCCAAGGCGGACAACCATGGGTCTCTGCGTGCAAAACGCACTGGTCGATCTTGAATACGCTTCATGCTGATTCGTTACAAACACATAGACACACAATGAAACACACGCACAGACACACACGGACAGAGTCACATACGCAAAGAGACACTCACAATCACACATGGCCTGTGGTGCCACTCACAAGAGCGTTGTACATGTGTCTTCAGCTCGGAGCTATGAATACACAAGAGTTGATGGGTCTCAGTATTGCCTCTAATCTTGGCCCGCATCTGAATTATCGCTGCTCCAAAAAATGATACGTTCTGACTCTGTTTCATGTTGAGTCCACCCTCAAATGTCAAAGAGTTTTAGGGTGCAATCAGCTTTTCGCTTGACTGGAAACTGTTAATATTCGCACAAGTGTTCCTAAGAAGGCCCTTTAGTGTACTCGAATCAGACACAAGGGCAAGTTAAACTATGGAAAACAAAAAAAAAACAAGGATTAAGTCAAGGCAGTGTGTACACACATCGGGAGGGAAATTGGGAAAAAGATGGAAAAAGGATCCACAAATCATTCTCCTCACCAGGAAACTCAAAAAATAACCTTCATACCGTCTATTCATGGACAAACTCCTGCAACAGCAAGGATGGATCACAACCCGTGAATTGGGAAAGAAGCACCAGCTGCAGATCCGATTCGGTCGACAGGGATCGCTTTCGCAAGGCCTTCATCTCGATCACCAGAGGGTCCACGTGCTCATTGGTCCCTTGACATCCGCTTCGAACAATTCGATTCGAGCAACTGGGGGCAACTTGCTACAGCGTGCAAGCCCTTTTTCCACCTCGGCTGATCTGCCGCTGGCAAAGGTTTCGATTGTTTGTCCCACAGCTCTACAGCCAAGTCCATTTTGTTCCACCTTGGCTGTTCCGCCCAAGTGGTTTTGATCTTCTTCCCCACAGCTTGGTGGTAAAATGTCGTACACACTCAGCTGGAAACACATGTGCGGCACAATCTGCGCTGAGCAGGCGCTTGCCTGGGATCCCATGGTTGTCCTTTTGGCGCCCTAATGCCTCCATTTGCAAAAAAGTCCCCTGGGAAAAAAACAAAAACAATCAAGTAATATAGATAGATTCCCTTTAAAACCGGGGGACAAATAACACAAATACTCTTAAAGCAAATGGAACATTGGGCCCGCCGAATCCCAAGGCCCATGAGCTCGTTGAATCCCTTGGGGGGTCCCTTCTTTTGGGACTCCCGGGCCCTGAGGGATGGAAATGGAAAGGATACCACGGCAGCAAACGAGCAAATGTGCTGTGGCCAGTCGGCGACTGATTTCTGCTTTTGGCTCACTACGAATGGAGGGGTGTACCCCTCTATTAGTGAGGAATCCCCACTAGACCAGGCACACCCCCTATTAATCAACCAGGGGTTTCTTCATGTTTATTAATCCAGGGACAATATTGATTAGTCCGAACACAACCCCATGTGTTTGTTTTTCTGAAATTAGCTGGTTCTTCAACCCGATTCGCACCGGGCGCGCCCAGCTAGGTGCTTTCTTCTCTGACCTGAGTCGTGCGGATAGTGCCACGAATGATCAAAACACGAATGATCTGAGCGTGTCTTGTTTTGATGACACCCCGAGCCTGGGTTTTTGAGTGGGAAGCACAAAAATCAGCCGGCCATTTCGTAAACTTTTGGGGGGAACTAGACCCAAACAAACATCGGACACCTGCCCTCCCCGGGGTTGGAATCGATCCCGCAAGTTTCGCCATATCCCTGCGATCCAGGAAAACCCTTTTGGTGAAAAAACGGCCCGTTTCCTGTGCCTATGGCAAAATGGTCTCTCACTGATCTCTTCAAGTTTCAACAACAAGCCTGATCTCAAAACAAAGCACAACTTCAGACCTACGCAAGTCCTTGTCTCTACCCATGCGGACGCATGCGGGCGCATGCAGACGCTTGAAGGCCAAAGGTAGCGAGGCGCTGAGTATCCGTTTTCAGAGTGGACATCTGGGGCGGGGACCTGTCCTAGGTCCTCCAGCAGAGAGATTAGAATAAGTTGGTACCATTGTTTTCTCTTTGTTTTTTTCCTTTTTTTTTTTCTCGGTTTTGTCTATTTTAGTAGGGGAACCCTCCCCCAAAAAAGAAACGCTAAAACACGACTGGGGGACCTAGTGTCTTAAACCCTCCTCTCCGGGTAGCCCATAAGACCTGGTTCTCGGCCTCTAAGCGGGCCTACCAAGAATGGCGCTTGCAGCTAACATATGTTGTAAGGGATCAGTGAGATTTAAATAGGCTCCTCTCCAAAGGGTGACTCAAACGCCAAAGACAACGAATTCCAGGGTGAAGAACCATCATTATGGGGCCTGAGCTCATTTTGACTTGGCTTAGTGAACTTGTTGCAGTTCGTGCAGAAGTGATTTCATCTGTGACAAGGTCTTTGAGGAAACCTGCCAAATTCTAAATGCTGGTTGCAGATTCTTGGCTCAGCATTTCTCTCATTTGATCAGCTCCGAATGCTTGCCAGCTGGGAAGTGAAACACACTCCCGTCAGCATCCGCAATGGCTAGAAGAGGTAGGTAACATAGAAATGTCTGCCTATAATTAATAACTTCGTGGAGAACCGGGTCTTAAAGTGACGCTCTGCAAGATACACTTCCCCAGACCCCCAGTGACCATTGGGAAAAGAGCACTCTTTTGGTAGTTGGTTTCAAAGGGAACTCCCACCCCCCTCCGACAAAATGAAGGACATACTCACTTTGACAAAATGGCATTCGAAGTTCAGCATCCGCAGGCCCCCTTCAAAGCGTCCTGCCGCCAGATCAGATCAAATGTGTTGAGTAGCACGTGTACATCAGCCTGCTAAAGTACTAGGGGGATGTTGGCAGGTTTCCGCCCTAGTGTTGACCCAGGATTAAAAAACCCGTCCCAGTATTAGGGGGGTGTTCCCTGCATTTCCCTGCAACAGTGATGAATCCCCACTAAATGGGGACACCCCCCTATTTTTCAACCAGACGTTTATTAATCCGGGGTCAACATTATGGGACATCCCCTAAGTTTTAATTCATCATTCCCACTCCCAAGTGCAAGATACTCCTAGCGGACGGTCCACTTGCCATTTCACGACCGGAGCTAAGGCTCCCAGCACATGCTTGCGCCAGACAACGCCCTGAGCGGAAACGTCATACCAATGACTCGGTGCATGGATTTCCGGCAGGACACACTCCATAGGCCCGGAAACCCGACGCCCCGAAAAGCCTTCAGTGGTGCAGGAAAATCGCCATTCAGCGTGGCTCAGTACGAATTATCTCAAAACGCGCAAATGTGCTTCTCATAGGTGTCCTTTTAGGGGAAACAGATAGCCCTGGTAGATGATTAAACCACCAGACAAACCAGGGCCATCTATTTTTCTAGCAAACCAACCAAAAGGCACACCTATGGTGCTTCTATCTAACCCCGCCAGTCTGAGCGAGTTTTTCTTTTTCTGACTAAACCAAGAAACAATTTTGACGGCTGCAGATGTCCGGGGGTTAGTGTGAAGCCATGCAGTGCAGCGACCAATGGGCTGAGATAGATTCCTCCGGGCTAGTTTCATCCTGCCGTCCCAAAACCAAGTGTGTGTGTGTGTGTGTCTCCTTGAAAGTGAATTGTCTTCTCCTCACCAGTGATTTCTGGGATGACTGAACTTTAATCCTTGAAGGAGCCACGTGTTGATCCCTCTCTTAAGCATCGCCATTGAATCACAGCTGGACGGGCAGGTCCTAGCCACTTCCGGCTCATACCGTGAAACAAAAACAACACCCTTGCCTCGCCCATGACACCTGGCCAACATGCTGAGCTGATCTATGAATGGAACTGGATGACTAACATGGGATGTTCCCAAAGGAAATACGAATACCCTCCAAAACAAGTCAGAGCTCCCGTGCACCGACGCAGGCTTGCCCACGAACCCAGTTCTGCTTCACGGTTGCACCCGCCAGAGCAAAAATAGTCAAGCTACGGTGGATGTCAAAAAACATTGCAAGCAAGGAACAAAGGAACCCCATAACTTCCCATGGTTTGTGGTTGACTTACTAGCAATATTTGGGGTATCCACCGTATTGGTTCTTTTGTAGATGTACATGAGGGCATAGACCATGTTCAAATTATTCTGGGACTTGGAGTCCCCTTATTCATGAGCTGCATAAATTTGGTCTTAAGCCTTCAAAAGGCCACTTGGGTGTTTTGCCAATTGGGAGTCGCTTCCCTTAGAAGGTTTGTCAAGGTCTCCCGATTTTGAGACAAACACCAGCCATCTCTTATCAAACTCTCACTTGCCCAAAGGGTCTGGAAATAAACGGTTCACCTTTTGGGACCTCTACTCAAACTGGACCAAGAGGAAAACAACAATTTTTTCGGGGTCGATTGGCTTTGAACCACTGAGAACTGCCTATTGGGACCCCTCAAACGGTCACAAAATCGATTCGCTTTGAGTTCAACTGAGCCACAATCAAAACCCGGTATTAAAATGGTCGCAATCCCAGAACCATGCTTCAAGGACTAAGGCGGATATCCGCTTCGCTCTTTCTGGCGAGGGGATCCGTTACTCACCTTCACTCACCCGAATCGGTTTTGAGGACGTGACATATATGTCGAACCTCCCAGTCCACCGGATCGGAAGGCGAGACGGAAAAAAAAATCCCAAGGGCTCCAAAAGCCATTAGAAGAACCTCTGAAACACACCCCGAAATGGCGGTGTCGCTGCACTTTTCCTCTGAAACACACCCCAAAATAGCACCAAAAGGTGGTGTTGCTGCTTTTTTTCGCTTTAAACTGGTGGTCTTTGAGACCCCGAGAACGGCGCTCCAAACTAATTTGATCCCGACAACTTTGGGGGCTTAGATTCGGAAACCACCACTAAACCAACTAAAATAGCCATCTGTGCCGGATAGGAATCACCAGGATTCACATGGAACCCGACTTCATAGGTCTCCTTTTTGGTTGAAAATAGATGGGTTTCCCTGGTAGTTGATTGAACCACCAGGTATACCAGGAATCGCCCGACCTATTTTTCAACCCCATCAACCAAACAGGACGAGCCCTATGCACGAGTCTATGCACGAGACGGGACCCACCCAGCGGGTTTCCACGGCGCCTGGTGTTCGAAGATGGCCACCCAGCTCCGGCTCCTCTCCGACCACTTCCTCCAGCCCGGCACGTAGCCGCCTCTACGCACACCGAGCCCGGGGAATCCGGGGGAAGGCGAAACCGGAAACCGACTTCAAAGAAGTAAGGTTTAGGGGTACCTAGAGGGGAAAATGCTTAGTACCTTTTTGTTGGCTCCCTTGCTTTTCTTGGTTCCTTCCGATTTTTTGGCTGAACCAATTAGTTTTGAGTTTTTTTTATGGAAAACCAAAAAAACTAGTACTACATTTCCCCCTCTAGGTACCCCGGCTTTGTGGTGAAGGGACACCAACAGGGAAAGCCACATTTTTGGGGAGGTCCCCCTTAAAGAGGACACAGCCACTTCCGCGAGTTCATGCTTTTCTTGCTGGTTCTCAGCTGGGAATCAACGGGGGGGTTAAGAATAAAACGAAAGATCCCTTTAAGGAAACGAGAAGGGATGGTACCAGCAAGTTGTTGGTTCCACACGAATTTAGTATCCAAGGGTGGCCAACAAGCTTCCTTCGGTGGCTTGCCCAGCAATCATCGGGGTTCCTTGTTCCCCTGCATACTTTCCATATCTAGGCCATCCGCTGCAGCAAAAAGAACCAACCGCAACCGCGACCGGAGAAAAAAGACAAACAAAATCGCGGCAGCAGCAAAATCGCCGCTTTTTCCTCAACAGATCTGGCCCTCCAATATCACTTCCTTCACACGAAGCGCAGCGTCCACACGGACCAGGAGGCAACGCCGCAGCGGCTTGCCCGTGGAGAGCTCCACGACTCGATCCATCTGCAGCAACTTGCAGGTGGCGTCTGCCACCGCTTGCAGTCGGCTTGGAAGCCCGTTCCTGAGCTATCTATCGAGCGGAAAAACGTGACTACGTCCTCCAGTAGAGAGGGTAGAATGATAAGGGTACCACATTTTTTTCAGGACAACTATTTTAGTAGGGGAACCCTCCCCCCAAAAAAAGAAACGGTAAAAGGGCAGGACTGGGGGACCTTCCACCGGCAAAACATGCAATCTGAGATGGAATGATGAACACTCACCTGAAACAAAGAAGCCCCGAAAAAGGACATCCTTGTGAGTGAGGTACCCCCGAAAAGTGACAGCGCCACAATCTGAGCAAATTGCTAGGAATTGCCTGCCCTACCGAAAGCTCATCTGAGAAGCACTTACAGAAGTCTAGTTGTGTCTGTTCACAAGAAAGAAAGAGCCTTGGGCATTTCTCCAAATCCCGGGACACGGAATTTGTCCTGAAACGCAGCGATTTGTGCCACACCATCGAAACTTGCAACAAGGACCTGAAAGACTCACGTTGCAACCATCTTAACTCCAAACTGTCGAGGCTTGATCCCAATTGCAGAGCTTTGTCAATAAAAACATCAAAACAGAGGAACCATGGGACCCGCCCCACCCCACCCCCCAAACAAAAGGTACGGGTTCTCTTTGGTCTTCTTTTAAAACAAATACCACCAGGGTAGCCTCAACAAAAGGACACACAGTGGATGACGCAGATTGTCCGCGCTGCACGCTCCGCCAAGGAAAGGTGGGCAACCTATTGCGACATCCACTTCTGCACAATGTTTTTATTTATATATACAATCAATATGGCTGCGGCTCAAAAATGGTACCCAAAATGGCACCTTGGTATATGGAAGCAAGACTAAAACCTGTGTGACCCCAGTTATTTGTCTTAATAGAGCCACACCATACACATATTAGTGCACTGTGTCTGACCTATCCCAAGTTCCCGAGCAAGCAATCCACAATAAGCCCTCGGATCGCTCATGGTTCAGGGCAAGCAAACGCTTTGAGCTTACAAGAACACCGAGAGAAGTTGCACTCCCCCCCCCCCGGCCCCACAGCCTGTTGCGTGTTATTCCCAAAAGCTGGAAAAGTTCTTGTGAGGTGCCCTTTTCAGCTTAGGTTCCAATGGAAAGCCAATACCGTCGGGGTCTCCCAGTTTTGACACACGCACACACGCACCAGTTGCAGTTTGGCCCAAAGGTAGGTTCGAAACAACAACGCGGAGAGCTCTACCCAAACAGGGTGACTGCTGTGTATCCCCCCACCTCAACAGGACATCCTAGAGGGAAAATGAAACCATCAACGAAACTCTAGGCGTTATGTTTAAGGGGATGGGGATCCCTACAACAGAGATGAGGCCAGTTGGTCTAAGGCGCTCGCTTTGCGACAAGGGTTGCTGAAGCTCATTCTTGCCCAAGGCAGCAAACGTGGGCTTCAGCGCTTCGAGGATAATGTCCTGGGAACGGGCCAGGCTGGGCCGTGGGCCGTGGGGGAGGGGGGACAGAGGAAAACACAAACCAACGAACACACACCACAAAGGACACAGGATCAGGCACTTAGACATTGGGCAAACAAGCAACAGCACAAATCAAGCAAAGCAAAGCGAAGCAGAGCGAAGCAAAGCGAATCGCCAGTAATAGCAACTACAAGACAAGTCCAGCACTATAGCAAAGCAAAAGCAAGCAAGCACACAGTTGCTTGTTCTGTGCTCGGCTCTAAGAGCCAGCAACCAACTGTCTACCTTGTCGGCATCAAGCACGCTTTCCTGAAACAAAGCCAACTTCTGTTTGTGCGTCAAGAAACTACAGACACACGCATATACACGCAACCCCAACACCCCCAAAAAAAACAAGGGCTTGCCTTTTGGTGTCCCTTTACAACCACCCCAAAAAAGGGTCCCCACTCAAAAACGACACACGCACACGGAGCACCGATGCGGCTCCTGGTAGGTGGTTATCCCCAGCGTTCGGCTCCAGAGATCGTAAAGCACCAGCTCCTGCGACCAAACCCCAGCTGGGCATTCTATATAGTAGATTCCCTGCTCAAAGTGCTTTTACGATTAATAGCTTAAATACGCAAACTCAACCACCGACTAAAAGCCAAACCGATCCAAGGAACCAAGGATCCCTTCTCCTTTTGGCGTGGCCCGGGACACTCATTGGGCACCTATGGAGTCACAAGCATCATTGTGCCCACAGGGTTCAGGACCGACTTTTTGCGGGCCATTTGGGTGTGCTGTTTTGAGGGTTTAAAAGGGAACCAACTGGAAAACCTTCAGGGGGTCCCCGAAAAAAAGACACACCTGGGCTGCCCTCAGATCCCCACTGAAAGTGACTAACTTTTAGTGGGTCAAATGGAAACTACCACTAAACTCTCTCAAAGGATCTAAAAAGCTAAGTTGAACCAGATGGCCTTCGGGCGCCAAAAAAAAAACACCCTTCGTGAATTTATTGAGCGCCCTCTCTCCTCCGCTTCAGGGGCGATGCTTCGTGCCAGCAGCGGCACGTCCGAGCGGTGTTCTATGGGGATAACCTGGGCAAAAGCTCGCGTATGCCAACTAGTGCCTCCAGATTTGAGAGGTTAGAATAAGTTGGTACCGCTTCTTTTTTCAGGACGTCTATTTTAGTAGGGGAACCCTCCCCCCAAAAAAGAAACGGTAAAAGTTGGCAGTACTGGGGGACCTAGCCAAGCCACCATTTTGAGGTGAGGCTGTCCCGCATAATGCAACAGGGGCCTTGGAACAGGGCCCCATACCAAACAGGCCTTCGAGGTGGGGTTGAAAGCTTGGAGGCAAAGCACCAAGCCATTTCTGAGAGAAGGGACACCAAGCTACCTCAGCTTGGGCCCGAATTCAGAGATTCTATGCAGTGCAGCTTTGGTGAACCTCAACATGCAAAGTGATGCTACAACAGCTCGTAACTACAAGTCCTCTTGCATCACCCCACCAAAAAGAAAGTTATCAAGCAATGGTTGGAATCCCTTCGGTGTCCTTTCAACACCATGCAAGCAAGGGTTTCCCTGAAGAGAACATCCAAAGCAGGTGCCTGATTTCACCTCTAAGCAATGCTATCCGTTGCAGTCCTCTTGGCACGTTTGTCATCGCTTCTAGCTTTCAAGTCAAGTACGTTTTTGGAGGGTTTTGGATTTATGGATTTGGGATGAAGGGTTGAGGGTGACTTCTTAATGCCTTTTGGGGGTGCTTACGACCTTTCGAGGAGATTGGTTTTGGGTTGCTTGTTTTTTCTCACTTCTTGAGTGGCTTGGCCAACAAAAACATAGTTTTGTCTACCACCAAAATGGTCGTCCCAAGCCGGGGGGTCTTTTGATCGACCCCCTCGTAGTGAAGGATTCCTTTGTGAGGCCCCCCTGGTCCCAAAACACAGGCCCATGAACTCAGGCAGTGAGTTGTTGGCTTGAGCTATGTTCAGCTGCTTGGGGTTTGCGAAGGGAGGGCGAAACCTAATCAAGGGCTACCCTAAAAAAAGACACCCCACATGAGTCACAATCAACACCCGGTATTAAAATGGTCCAGCCAGAACCATGTAAAGAATTAAGAAGGCGGCCGCAACTATTTCTGGCTGGGACTGCCCCTTACTAACCTTCATCTACCCAGGGTTTAATTGTGGCTCAAATGGCTCAATTGTCAAAGTATGTAAAAAGCACATCTGCTCAGCGCATTTCGAAGTTGTAAAGTTGGGTTGCGCTGTGCACCAAACCCTCGCATGCACGCCCCAACGGTTCCCAGTGTAGCACGGCCACAGTGCTGATTTGCCGAGGCCCTGACCAGGGCGGTAAGAAACCCGACAGCAAGGAATACACCTCTGCTTGCGATATTCTCCAGGGATCATTCTGTTCAACCTCCGAACACCCAGGGAAACAGCTAGCTGGTTCTTCAAAAGAACGAACGATTGACCCTAGAGAAATGTTTGATTGTTGTCGATATGTTGGGAACCAAAAGACATAAACATACTGTGAAACAATATCAAATGAAACCCACTCCGCAGGTCTGCCGGGGCACTCTGCACCCCAGCAACTGCCCAACATCGGCGGAGGGCGACACAAGTCGGGTGTCCGACTCCACGAAGGACCTGGGCAACTGGCAACATCACTGATATTGGGCCAAATGGCTACACAAACAGCTCTGGTTTGGATTGGTGAGATGGTGGCAAAAGGGTGATTTCAAAGACACATCTCAACACAAGGGCAGTGCAACAATGCAACTTGCCAGTACAAGCGTAGCTCGCGCAGTGCACTTTGGCAGCGGCAGCTAGAAAATCACAACGGACCTCATGCCACGACGCCTACGCCTTGCGGACTTTGCCAGCCGTCAGGCTGTCTCTCTGTGTCTCTCTCTGTGTCTGGTTGTGGTTGCGCTTGTGCTTGTGATGGCAATTGTGTTTTGTGTTGCGTGTTCGTGTTTTGTGTTTTGTGTTTGGGTTTGGGTTTGAGTTTGCGTTTGTGTTGTGCATGTGCCCGTGTGTTGTTGTGTGTTTGGTGTTGTCTTTCTGTGTCAGGCGTGTGAGCAGGGATACGCCCTCACCATAGAGCAAAGTACCGACCTGCGCCTGGCTCTTCAGCATACGAGTGGCGGATCCTAGACGTGGCACATCTCACATCCTGACCGGATGGGCCAAACAAGTATTGCCAAAAAGCCTAACGTCCAGCCACTGAGGGAGTGAGACACCACAACCTGTCAACTCAAGTGGTGCTCTTGCCGCCTCGAAGAAAAGCTCATACCCAAAAGGAAACCTGCACGTATGGGTATGTTTTTTGTGGACCCCCAAAGTGGCGGTGTTGCTTGTGTTTTCTTTTGAAACCCATCAACAAACAAGTCCCCCAAAGGGAATCCCTGCAATAGAAATAAGGGAGGGCAAACCGGATGTGGGCGATAGACTCTGGGAGCGCTAGAAAGGGTCAGGCGAACCCTTGCGAACCCAAAGACCTATAAAAGAAACCTTCTGTGATGTCGCAAGCCACGTGTCAATCTTTTTCACTGGCTCCAATGGCTCAAATCAAGGGCACTTCCAGCTAGCCTGCCCGTCCTTGCCAAATCATCATGCGGAAAGACGTGACACAAACCGCTAAACATTCAAGCGTTCTGGTTTAGGACAGGTAGGCGCTACACGAAGGCTCTGGCAAATCCTTCAAGCAAACTCCATACCCCTGTCCACCCCAATTTTACCAACTGCTGCAACTATCCAACTCGTTGTGTTCTGGTGGCTTCCTTATTTTCCTCATTGGCTACTTCGCGCAATCTGAGGGCCCCCTTGATATGTGTTGCTTGTGAGAAGACAGGTTCACCCCCCAAGCAGAGCCGGCCAGCCCTAAGGCGAGCAAGCGCTTGCGAGCGAGGCCGAGGTGCTCATGAAGGAAGTTCCACTGCTGGCCGTTCCAGGGGAAGAGCGCGAAGGGCGTGAAAGGCCAATCCTGGAACCATCGGACCAGAAGTTTTTCACGTTCACAAAGCCAAAAGGTGTCAAGACTCACATCCTGAGTGGATTTTGGCCAAAAACAGTCTGTTTCTTTTTCCATTGCCACCAAAATGGTCTTCCCAAAAAGTTTGAAGTCCATGAACTCAGGAAGTGAGAAGAGGTGGGTGTTTCCTCAAGATTCGGCCCGCGAGCTTAGTCAGTCCTCCTGAATCAGCCCACTGCGTCGGCAGGCGAATGCCGCGCCGAGGAGCACAAAGCACACGGCCACAGCCTGAGCTTCAGGACTCACCTCCGTTTCCGTTTCAGGCCCCTGGAAAAAATGAGGAATTCATATGGCTGTGGGTCAAAACTCTGTACCCCTCCTGAACATCAAAAATAGGTGGCAAATGGATCCCAAGGAGCCATGGGTTGTGCCCCATGGCTATAGGTCTTCCAGAGGAGTTGGAATAAGGGTACCAACTTATTGAAGGACGTCTATTTTGGTAGGGAACCCTCCGCCAAAAACGTTGGTCAAAGGGCACTATGGGGGACCTAGTATGGCTGTGGGTCAAAAATAGGGCAACCCCAAAATGGGTTGAACCCTGGCAAATGGAAACATGGACCAACATCTGCGGTCACCTCAGGGTTTCAATTTGACCCATACCCTGTGCAACGAAGGAAAACCAACAGAGAAATCAAACATAATCCCAAGCAAACGGACGCTAAATATGGGAACCCCAAAGGGGAAACCCAAAGGTCCAAAGGTCGATTCGCTTTGGGCAAGGGGAAGCTCAAAGGTGAACAGGTCAGTGATGGTCAGTGGTTTCTGAAGAGAACGATGGCTGAATGGAGAATCAACCCGAATAGTATAGGTAACCAGCCATTTACCTTTTGGCAGGATGGGAAACCCCTTTGGTTACCTGCTCAAATCAAACGTCACTAAACTCGGTTGCTTTCTGCTCCCCAGCTAAAAGTTTAACTTCTAGTGGTTTAATGGAATACCCATTAGTTGGCTAAAAGTTAAAGTCCTAACAACCATCAGCGACCCATGGGGCTCTGGCTGGGGATTCATATCGAGGCCAGCACCCGTTTCCCAACAACTGCCGTGTTGTCCACGTCCAAAATTCCCATGTCCCCAAGCAGTGCTTGGGATCGACCCGGGTTCTGGAGGATGTCCATTTTTGGGGGGGCTCCCACTCGGGGGAATCCCCCGACAAATGGGGTCGATTCCAATGACAATGGGTAACTTTTCCCATGTGAAACATATCGTCTTTTCAGTGGCTCCCCTCCAATGATCATCCTATGCTTACCAAAACTCTTAATGAACCCCCAAATGGGAAAGCTTCCACGATCCGGAGGCAAGGCTCTACGCACCAGCCGCTGGAGAGCACGGAGAGGTCTGCGTCCTGGAAACATCCGAAGCCCAGGACATAGGCCGCCACATTGGGCAGGAAAAACCTACGGCGTGCCCGGCGTGCTTGGGCGCGTCTCGCCTTTGAGGGTCTCGCCTTTTTGGGGCTAAGTGGCAGTCAAAGGGCAACCACGCGACCCAGAGGTTCCAATTCGATTCATGGGACCTCAAACGGTTTTGAGACCCCCAAACACCAATTCCCAGGGTGTCCAAGGGAGGGGCCGGGTCTTCCATTGAAAGCCGAAGCCAGGAGCCTCTGGGTGAGGGTTCCTTCAGAAAAGGCATTGCCGATGTTTCGGACTTGGTATCCCTGAGCTCCTGGTCTTTGACTCATTCACAGGGACTCGTCACTCCACCAAGTACCGCGCATCCCAGAGATAGAAACCCAACATGTGTGGAGGGGTGTCCTTGAAGGGACTGCATGCTGGCAGGAGGGCTTTTGAAGATTGCAGTCCTCTCTCAGTTGCCCCTTCGGCACCCGGAATAAAAGGTGATCACCTGTTGGGACCTTTTCGGCGTGTCAAGATTCAAGCCCCGGATTCTCCCGGATTAATCTACCCCAGTTCATGAATATGGGGGGTCGGTGGGTTTGGGCGGTAAACACTTCGGGATCAACATGAATTACCTGAATCAGCTTCCCCCAAATTGGTGGCTTGAATTGGTGGCTTGGTGGGCAGTGGACAATGTTCCCCCTACGATAGCCAGAGGATCAAATTCAAATCCCAAGCACCGACCCAAACCACCAATTAAGGGGTACCTCACTAAAAAAACACTCGTACACACGCACACATGAGACAAGGCCAAAAACTATGAGTGTCTTTGTTGGAGTTGGTACCCCAATGTCTTTCATTTTAAAGGCAAACCAAAAGTGAAGACCAAACTCCATTTTGCTGGTCCAACCTAAGAAATGACACAACACGGAATTCGGTTGTCCTTTTGGTTTTCCTTTGAAGCCACCAACAAGGAGGATCAGGATACCAACTCCACAACAATCCAGGGGTACCTTCCCCACTCCATCCTTCTTTCTAGACAACTCCGGAAACCCAGGGAAAACGGATCCGGCTGTTGGAAAGAACGATGGTTGAAAAGAATGCAAAAGGAATCCACCCCTATATAGAAAAAAAAACAATCCCTTGAAACCACCAACAAGGAGGATCAAGATACCTCCATAAAAAAGACGAGCCGTCTTTCTTTTTCTCCTTCCGAGTCACGCGCCAATGGCGCCGCTCTGAATCGCCCCGATGCCCAGGTGAAGCGTCACCAGGCCGAGGCCCACCGAAAAACGCCAGCGAGGCGCCAGGAAAAAGGCGCCCAAGGGCGCGAGGAGGATCTCAAAAAGCCTGCGCCGTATCCCAGATTCGCGACAATGCAGGGTTTGGTTTACCTCACATCAACCACCCAACTCGGGCTTCTTTGAATGTGCTTGTTACCGGCTCTGGACAACAATGCACAGTTGTCCGTCCCATGTATATAAATGCGCGAGCGGCAAAACCTCGCTTTCGAAGAGGAAGTTATCGTTGTTTGGGTTTCACTATATCGTTGTCCAATGTTTCAGACATGGCCATGCAAGGTAATCGTTTTGTTGTTTGTTTTGGCTACATCGTTCCTGAGAAAACAAAAACACGCACCGCAAAATCACCGAAGACATATCTCTGGATCACAGAGTTTAGCTTTTCTCTCAAATTGTTCCCTTTAGAGACATCAACACATATTCTTTGCAGCGCAACACTTTTGTAAGGAACCCCTCCAAGCAAAATTGAATTTTAACTTTGGAAACAAATAAAGCTTAGTGTTAGTTCTGTTTTAGTGGGGCTTTTGATTCATGAGGAAATGCAAGATGACCAGCGGAGTCCAGAGATCTAAGACTCCACTATGCTCCCGAACCCGCCCACAGCAGAGGGGATGCCTTGGAGGGGCACGCACCCATTTGAACACTCGAAATTCCCTTGCAAGTGTGCTGGTTTCCCCAAAAGAATGGGTGAATCCCGTTTGATAGGAGTATTTTGAGGGTCCACCTAACCCACTTGGACCTTGGAATCAAGACATCCGTCAGACGGATCCGTCCGGGGCGCAACGTCAGCGACGCCAGGAAGGCGCACGCGGCTGGGCTCTGCCGAACTTTGCGGTTGGCCAACAGGAGGATGGGGCCGCCTGCTGCGAAGTAAAACTGGGGAGAAAAAAATGAACGTCCCGTTTTAGCTTGATTTGCATGGCGACCAAAAGGACAACTACCATTTTAGGAACAACCATGAAAAAGCGTGTATTTGCCAAGGCACCCTTTTGAGTGTGTGTGGGTCTGTGTTGTTTGATGGTACCTTTTGTTTTGTGTGATTTAAATGGCAACCAAAAAGACAACTACCGTTTTCGGTGACCCAAATAAAACCTGGGGCTCACGTTGTGTTCTATGCGCATAATCTTAGCTACTAAACGTTGACCCCGAAAGTGATAAAAAGCAAGCAGCTGTGTTGTGCATATTCTTTGTGCAGGAAAGGAAGTGTCTACCAGCCCCGCATAACCCCTGCTGTTTGGACAGTACTTGGGATTTTGGACATGGAAACATCAGGTGTTGGGGATTGCGTGTACTTTTCATAGCGGTCCTCATTGCAAACAACATCCAAAAAAGGTCAACAATGTCTAAGCAAAAAACAGATGTTGATGTAGGTGTCTGTGCCATGGGACCCTTACAAACCAAGCTCAATGGTTGGCTTTTGTCGCCTTCCTTTAACACTGATGCAAAAGGGTGCCTATCTGCCCGTCACAACACGTGAACGGCAAAACGAGCACCAACCAAGCATTCTACGCAATACCGGGCGCAGTGCTTCCAGCTACCACTGTAGCGACCAAGTATCTTAACCTCTTGGTTGCATACGTGGCTTCCCTCATTACCCAAACTGGAAGAACTGGGAGGATGGCCAAACCAAAAAAGGCCCTCTTAGTCATGTTGCATTTCGGGCCATCAGAAAGGCCCCAAAAAGCTGAACCGACCATATTTTTCTCCCCCCCTCCCCCCCAAATCGGGGGGTTGTGAAAGAGATTGTTGGCCCGCCAAAGAAACCTGCCTTTGTGGGGAGTAATGTTGACCCCGGACTAATAGACCCCTTTCATATGGGGGGTGTCCATGTCCGGTTTTAGTGGGGATTCAGGCCACTTTTGGAGGGGCTTTCACCCCCATAATTAATATACACAGGGGCTTATTAGTCCGGGGGTCCAAATTACCAAACCTGATTCCACTGCTCTTGCACCATGGGAGCCGGCCTTTGAAACCCAAAAGGAACACCGTGGCAACCGGAGCTGTTGACAGATCTAGAACCCCTCCCACAATAAAGGGGCGAAAGGGGGGGGGTGTTCCCTCCAAAAGTGGTCTGAATCCCCACTAAAAGGGGACACCCCCCGATGAAAATCAACCAGGGGTGAATTAATCCGGGGTTAACAGTGTAGTGGCAACCGGGATTCACTGGCTTTGATAACCCCCCCAAACGATCGCCCACTTGGATCCTGCTTTGGTCCGTGGCTGTTCAAACACAAATCCAGTGGGCACCTGTCCTTGCTTGGGCGTCTTGCGCGCGAAGGTGGTGAGGATGGCAGACATCGTGCCCGCAGCAGCCCACTGAGACCCCCCAATCACGGCTTTCGACACACCGCTGCTGAGGATGTACAGCACAGAGAGACCGTAAGCCACTGCTTGCGGCAAGGTGTCGCTAGGGATCACCAAGATCCAGCAAATGTAGAGCATGAGGTAATCCCTGGCGAGATTGCCGCGGGCAAGTTGGAAGCCCAAAAACACGTTCTCGGCCAAGAGAACTTCTTAGGTCTCTCTTCACAAAATTGACATTGAATCAAACACTTGCACCGACATAGGTGTTCTCCGACAGTTGTTAACCGCGCTGCTACTTGGGTGTATATATATATATACATACCAAAAATGGTGTATCTCAAATGTATACGTATAGATACAATATTTGGCGAAGGAGGCCAAAAGGAACCGCTTTTGGGGATCACAAATTGTGAGACATACCCACGTATGCGTCAAAATAGGGCTACCCAAATATGGTAGTTCTCCTTTGCGTTCCCCTTCGAACCCCCAAACCCTCAAAAACCCATGTTGCCATCCACCCACCCACATAGGCTAGGCTCCAGAAGAGAGGTTAGAATAAGGGTACCCTTTTTGCTGTAGTCTATTTAAGTAGGGGAACCCTCCCCCAAAGAAGGGTAAAAGCGCACTAATTACTGGAGTCTCCATGACCCTTTACAATAGGTCCATGATCTCATTACTTCGGGTAGTGACCCCATTTTTTAAGGATCATGGAGACTCTAGGTACTGGGGGACCTAGTAGGTATACACTCCCTTGCTCCCCTTTCTTTTCAGCCAACCCACCTGTGGCTGGTGGTGCGGCAGCTGTCGCCCAGCTGAAACGTGGTGACGCACAGCGCGCAGCTCAGGCGCAGAGCGAAGACGGGGGCCGTGAGCTCGCAGAGGCCCGTCCAAAGGAGCAGCGGGATGACCAGGTAGGCCGCTGGAAGGTACCTCTCGACGCTAGTCTAGGTCTTCCAGATTTGAGAGCTTGGAATAAGTTGGTACCGATTCATTTTTCTGTAGTCTGTTTTGGGGGAACCATCCCCCAAAAAAGGGTAAAAGGAAGGTACCTGGTCTCGACCATAGGTGTCGTTGTTGGGAAAATAGATGGCCCTGGTAGTTGATTAAACCAGGGCCCTCTATTTGTTTCAACCAAATCAACCAAAAAGGACACCTGTGGTCCCGACGCTAGTCTACCTTAAACCTTGGTTGCCGCTGAGCCCTCTGCAAACCGGTTTAGCTTGTTGTGGGTTCAATGGAAAACCCGTGATTTCCCGAAAAGTTTAAGTCAACAGACCCAAACAAATAGCAATCAAGGAAATAGGTGACCACTTTGGGCGTTGCTGTAAGCCTGTTGTGAATGATAATATTCTAGACGACTTTAAGTTTATTAATACTGTGGATGGACGAAATCCATTTCGCACCACTTTGAAGCCATGGGAGACCATTTGTTTGTTGGTATTTACAGAGGAATCATCATTCTAGGACTTCGTAGGTGGTGCAGGATTTCGTCCACCCACAGTAGGGGTCCCTGAGTGAATTATAATATTTCACCAACCTAATTTTTGTGGTGCTTGGGGGGGCTACTCCCCACATAAACCACCATTTGGGGTCAATTCGGTCGTGTGAGGTCGTTGTAATTCACCCAGATTTTAAAAAAAACAAAAACACCCATGTGTGTTGTCCTTTGGGTTGCCTTACCATTAAATCAGGAGTCAGACCCCCCAAACTGGTCCCTTTAGTTCCCTTTAAACCCACCCCAACAAGGTTCCTCGAAAAGACACACACCAACTTTGCTTTGTTGTGCTTTCCTTAGGCTTCCCTTGCCAACCCCGAAAAGGTACCAGCAAAAGTTGGATAGATTCATGTTTCCGCTTAAACCGGCCTAGACATGGCTCCCTAACAAAACCACCCGCCCATTGCAGCATTCAGACTCTCAATCAAATCGCATGGCCAAATGGGTATGCGTCAACCAACATAGGGTACCCTCAACAAAAGACGCGCCCATTGGCAAAATTTGAGGTGAAAGTAGGCACCATGCCCAGGCACGGCGCGCAAATAAAACACTTGTGCTAAACATCCCAGAAGCTCCCATCGGCTTCGGCTTCGGCCTTCGGATGGAAGACCCATCCGAAGCCATTGGACACCCTGGGAATTGGAGCCTCTGGGGGGGTCTCAAACCTGGGCTTGACCATCGGTTCTTTTCAACATCCGGCTGGCGGCTTCCTTCCTGAAAAGAAGGAGCCCTGGAAAGAACGGAATTGGAAGGTAGCCCTTGGTCCGCGTTTTTTTTTCTTCCCCCTTTGACTTCCACTTAGCCCCAGAAAGGCGAGGCTTTCAAAGGCGAGACGCAAGCACGCCGTACACGCCGTACGTTTTTCCTGCCCAATGTGGCGGCCTATGTCCTGGGCTTCGGATGTTTCACACCTTCAGAGCTTCAGGGCCGGCCTAGCGCTACATGCTACCTCCAATCCATTCTCCGCCCTCCACATATTCTTTTTGTAGGGACCAATAAGTAAGAGGGATTTCGACTTTTCGTGCAATTCAAATGCCACGCAACTGCACCTGCTGTCGACTTTTGCATGAGTTGAACTTCGACCCCTAGCGCAGAATGTTGGGTTCCCAATGTTGGACACAAATGAGCTATGTATGCGGCATGCGCGGCATGATCCCAATGGACCGTTTCCCCCCTTTGTTTGCTGGTGGGGGATTGTCCTTTTCAGAAGGGCATTAAAACCCATTTTTGTGGCAGGTGTTAAAGGGAAACCATAGGGAAAGCCACCATTTTGGGGGGTCTGATTCCTAACAAACAGGCGAGCCATCCAGTTAGCGAGTGCCGAAGCCTTTCACAAAATCCACATGCGAAACAACGGAACACCATGGTTGCTCCCTTTCACAGGGGCGAATGGGAACAAACAAGAAATGAACAAGAACAACGGCTTCCCAACCAAGCAAACCAACTCTCCACCTTAACTAGCTGAACTAACTTGACTAACTTCAGCAACTAAATCTAGCTTAACCAACTAATTTGACTAACCAAACAAACCAACTTTCGGATTTTGAGACTCATCGAAATCCAGGGCTCACCCCTCTCTGCTTATTCGAGTTCCGGCAATTCGACTTTCCGGCCAGGCTGCACCTGGTTGGACACCAGGCGAAGGAACACGTTGCGCGGCATCCTGGTCTCAAAATGTCTGAATCCCCCTTAGGTGAGGTACGTTGCCAGGGGTGTTCGGGCTGGCTTATGGTTGGTTTGGGGTTGGTTTAGGGTTTGGTCTCAGGCTCCTTCGGCCATAGTTGCTTTTTTCTTCGGGTTCCTTAGGGAGCCTTAGGGAACCCCGACCACCCCCCTTTAGGGATTCACGAAATTCATGTCAAGCTTGTGTCTCAAAAAGGGACCTCCAAGACGGTGGGGCCCCGTCCTCTTGATGTCCTCTAACGAAAGGGCATTCTTCGTTTGAAACACGGCCACATGGCTATGTGTCAAAGGACAGGGAGGGAGCCCTCTCATGGCAATGTTCCCTTTAGTTTACCTTCAAACCAAGTTAAAGAGGGTACACCAGGGCGAAGGTAGATGGCACAAGAGCAGTTATGTGGGTAAGCCAACAGGGGGGAATCACAAGTACCCTCAAGAAAACCAGGGCTCCCTATGTTTCGCCTTAATGAATTATATTATCACGCAAAGGGACAATGAGCAACAACTGCAACAACTGATGCAGCAAGTAAGGCTTAAACTGCATGGCTTTAAGGGTATGTCTATATATATATATGTACATACGCACATATTTAATGTTGACCCAGGGTGTTCCCCTCCAAAGTGATGATTCCCTACTACCCTTTGGGACACTCTATTAATCAACCAGGTTACTGAAGTTAACTAATCCTGGAGCAACAAGTTGGGGGAGTCGTGGTTTACACCCCTCCACACACGTCTTCGCAACCCTTAGTAGGGTGGCAATAAACTGCGTCTTTTGCAGCCTCCTACTAAACATGAACAGACTCACAAAAACTCAACAACCAACAAATTTGGTTGCCGTGAACACAAACCCCATTTAAAAAAAACAAAGAAGCATGCAACAGAACAGCCCCAAAATCCTTACCTGGGCTGAGACCCCTTAGCTTTTTCAGCTGTTGCGGAAGAAAATGCCAAGAGTGCGGACGGACACCCCCACAAAAATTTCTGGGCTGAGACCCAGATAAGAATTCAGCGGCAAAAGAAAATGCCAAGTGAAGAACCCCCGTAGCTTTCAGCTGGGGAAGAATATGCGGCAAGCACAGCGGCCCCCCAAGAAAAATGCTTCTGCCAGCACCCTCCAAGTGCCTTCTATTTGAAGGCACTTAGGTGTTGGTACGAATGGACGACACTTTTATGCTAAGTGCCCTCGTTTGACCCTAACTCAAAAAGTGCCCTCAATTGGTACCTCCAGGGGTGGGTGCAGATGAGGGGGGGGGAGGCAGCACAGCAGCCGCCCGGCCAGCGCAGACACCACCTGGGCTCGGTGGTATGGCGGGGTTGCATGTCACAGGCATGAGTCAATCATGCACTGCAACGGGGTAGCCCCCTTCAAAATCAACACTTACTTTCTGATTTGACCACCCCCACCGGGCAATGCCGCGCCCACGCATTGGCAAGCTGAAGGATAACGGCGTGTGTCCAGACTGCAAATTCAATGGTTGCAAAAACATGACAATTCATGCTGAGGAAGCTATTGCGGAAGTGCCGCAAACATATGCCTTCCCGGAAAGAGATCATGGACTCCAACCAACTCGTATGTGGCGGTGATATCAGAAGAAAAGAAAACAAGTGGGCGATCTTGGCCCTCCAGGAAGCAAATCTTCCAAGGGTTCCCCGAGAAAATGAATGCCGCAAAGTCGTCACAAAGTTGGTTGTGGAGGCAAAGCTGTGCCTCTTTGCTGTCAATTTATGGTGCACCGTTGTGTGCCAGGGACATGCATAGGCGAGCATGCAACTAACCAAACTCTGAGGCCAAACTATGGAGGCCGGTGAACAAGATGAATGGATCACAGTGCAGGCTTGCCATGCATGTTGTCTTCATGATGCAAATAGGCATTTCTTTGAGTGAGGGACAAATGCTGATCCCCAGGCGAACAGGATGCATGGCGTGTTCATCAGACAATCCAGGGCTGGTGCGAGGAGAAGCCGTTCATCTAGTGGAAGTGCTATTTCAAGACAAAGCTCCGTCGATCAGACTCCGACTCATTGATTGCATATGGCAATTTCCATATCAATTTAAACGGCCCTTCATGATTGGGTTCGGAATATTCAGTACTTTGGCCATGGGTTTGACACCTGCTCAGGGACCCATCGATGCTGGAAACGCTGCCTTTGGACCTTGGTATGGGCGATGTTGATATGCCCCTTGGCGCCAGCACATTTGTTTGCTAGCAAGTCACACATAATGTCAGGGAACAATCAGTACCCCCCCCCCAAAAAAAAAACCTTCGATCCACGTACACCAGATTCCCACGTAAAGGGCCACGCAACCCTACCCATTATTTTTGGGGCCTCCCCAAAACACCCCGCTGATTAAAGGTACTCCCTTGCCACCCCCCACCCTAAAACACCAGGCTGATTGCTTTCCTAATTAAATATGCACCGACCCCAAACCTGTCAGGAAACCTCAGATTTCTTTACATGTTTCAAACAAAAAGGTTTAAGCTTAAAAAGCAAGCAAAAGGCCACCAAGCCCCTCAAGTCCCTCAAGTTCCTCTCAAGTTATTGGGGGGTCCTACCAGAGAGCCTCAAAATTTTGCCCCTCCCAAACCTTGTTGACCTTGAAGGGGGGGGGGTACTAACCATTTTGTAGGATCCGATCCATCATTGTAGCCAAACCTAGGACTGCCTGCGGGTTGGTGCCAGGGGCCGGACACAGCAAGGGCAAGATGCAGGCCTGTCACGCTTTGCACACGTGTATCGATCATGCACGAATGTATGCAACGCATGGCATCCAATTATATATATATATATATATAATATGCTTGAAATTAGATCACGAATTGGGGGCGTGTGTGTGTGTGTCTCTGTGTCTCTGTCTCTCTGTCTGTCTGTCTGTCTGTCTGTCTGTCCGTCCGTCCGTCCGTCCGTCCGTCTGTCTGTCTGTCTGTCTTCGCGTGTGTGGTTTTTCCTCTATCACAACAGTCTGCTCGGCACCTGCACACTGGATCCTGCGGATCCATCCCACGCAGGAGTCTGGATCAGACGCTGGCTCCACAAGTGACGAGGATGGGTCCACTGCCTCTGCGCAGGAAGAGGTGGATGCGCGGCTGCCTCATCCGAAGGTTCCTTTGGCCGACTTGAGCCATCATGGTGAGAGGATGATGCAGGACACGCAGGTGGATGAGATGTCGGAGACCGATGAGGAGGTGAAGGCTTTGGAGGCTGACCAGCTGGATGCCTCGGAGGATGAGCCAGAGGAAGCGCAACCAGATCTCGAGGTGAAGGCTTCAGAAGCTGATGAGCCGGAAGTCTCTAAAAGTGAGTCGGAGGAGGCGCAGCCAGATTCACAGGCTGATGAGACGGATGTCTCTGAGGATGAGCCGGAGGAGGTGCAGTTAGAGGGGAAGGCTTCAGAAAAAGCTGATGAGCCGGGAGTTGCTGAGGATGAGCAGCCAAAGGAGAAGGCGTCGGACGCTGACCAGCCGGACGTCCCTGAGGATGAGTCAGAGGAAGCCCAGCCAGCTGATGAGCCGGCCATCTCTGAGGATGAGTCAGAAGCGCAGCCAGAGGTGAAGGCTTCGGCTTCAGAAGAAGCTGATGAGCTGGATGTCTCTGAGGATGAGTCGGAGGAGGTGCAGTTAGAGGAAGCGCAGCCAGAGGTGAAGGCTTCAGAAGAAGCTGATGAGCCGGATGTCTCTGAGGATGAGTCGGAGGAGGTGCAGTCAGAGGAAGCGCAGCCAGAGGTGAAGGCTTCAGAAGAAGCTGATGAGCCGGATGTCTCTGAGGATGAGTCGGAGGAGGTGCAGTCAGAGGAAGCGCAGCCAGAGGCGAAGGCTGATGAGCCGGACCTTTCTGATAAAGCGCAGACAGAGGTGAAGGCTTCAGAAGCTGATGAGTCGGATGTCTCTGAGGATGAGTCAGAGGAAGAGCAGCCAAAGGTGAAGCATTCAGAAGCTGATGAGCCGGACGTCTCTGAGGATGAGGATGAGTCAGAGGAAGCGCAGCCAGATGTGAAGGCTTCAGAAGAAGCCGGTGAGCCGGACGAGGATAAGGCTTCAGAAGCTGATGACTCTGAGGACGAGGATGAGTCAGAGGCGCAGCCAAAGGCTTCAGAAGAAGCTGATGAGCCGGAAGTCTCTGAGGATGAGTCAGAGCAAGCGCAGCCAGAGGTAGAAGAAGCTGATGAGCCGGACATCGCTGAGGAGAAGGCGTTGGACGCTGACCAGCCGGACGTCTCCGAGGGCGAGTCGGATCTTGAGGTGAAGGCTTCAGAGGCTGATGAGCCTGAAAGTGCTGTGTTCGACAGTGCTAAGCGCCGACGGGCAGCTTTAATGGAGTGTGACCGGCAGCCTGACTCCCGGGAAATGGAGAGCTTGTTGGGCACACAGCCCACTTTGCTTCTGGGACAGTGGGGGTCGGACGTCTCTGAGGGTGAGTTGGAGGAAGCACAGCCAAAGCTGATGGCTTCGAATTCGGATGATGAGATGGATGTCTCTGAGGGTGAGTCGGAGGAGGATTGGCCGAAGGTCAAGACTGGCGAGCCAGACATCTCGGAGGATGAGTCGCAGCTGGGAGCAATGGCTTCTCAGGATGACGGGGCCGACATCTCCACCATCCACACCAAGGAAGCGCAGCCAGAGGCAAAGGCTTCGCAGAATGATGAGCCAGAGGTCTCAGAGGATGAAGCGCAGCAGCCGGTGGTCTCCGAGGGTGAGTCGGAGCCGGCGGAGGCACTTGGGGAGGACGGGCCAGATAGCTGCAAGGAGGAAGCCAAGCCAAAGGACGGGACATTGCTTCGATGGTGCACAAAAGGGCCCCGATTCCCGGTGACTTTAAATTTGAGACAGCCACCTCCAAGGGAGACTGCGCAAGTCCCACTGACACGCTACCTTGTCAGCAAGGAGGGCCAGTCAACAGCTACCAGCAAAGAGGGTAACTTGGACACTAAATTCCTTGCATGCACACGCATACATGTGCAATGGTCCATGGTCTGGGACATCG